ACCAGCACCAAAGGCCAAGGGGTAGATAACGTCATTCTGAAGAACTACAGGATAAATATATAGGCTTACATAACAGACTATCCAGTATCTTGTTAACAGAATTAGGTGAGTTAGGTATTAAAACTACACAGGACCCGACGGGACCGCTGTGGACCTGACTCCTCTCCACTGATTACCTGAAGCGCATTTCCCCCATCACCCCGAGATCTGCACTTATTTCATTATTGCAGGTTTATGTCCACATGGACGAATTTATACTGCGCTCTCCCTGACCCATTTGCAGCCAGCCAAAAGCACTTATTGCGGCATGTACGCTCGCCTGCTATAAAACCACTCTCAGTGGTTTCTCAGAGACCGAATGGCCTGTCAGGGTCATTTTCATTTAAAAACATTAAAACACTCTAACCATCGCTCACATCGAGCTGGAAATGACAGTATAATTTGGCGGGATACATGAGGGCAGGTTATTAAAATGTAGCGGGATATGTGGTGCGGTTTTAATGGCGGCTCTGACACAGGATGAAAAGACGCTCAGCGTGTGACCATCGATAACACTTCTCTCTCCCGCCATCCTCTCCAGCAATTAGAGGCACTATGAAAAGGCAAACTGTGCTGTGATTTGCAGTGATTGCCTGAGGGCATGGCCTCTAAAAGACAGGAGAAAGTCAAACAATGAGAACAGCAAAATCACCAATAACATTAAAGAGCAACCAATGCGAAACGCTAATAAAACATCAATCATTATTACACGGATCTCAGAAATACTCTGATTGGTCAAATCGCAACATTCTGCCTGCCATCAATAACAACTGTTAAACTATATTATTGACTGCTATTCCAGGCGACCAGTTTTCTACACAGCAGTGCTAGTTTTACATCTCTCGTATGGCTCCACTGTTTCTTTCTTATCACTTAATAAAGCCAAATTTCAACTCAAATCAATATTTCATGTCCATTTATTGAAACAGCAGGGTATAATATATAGTCAACAGATCATTATAGCAAAATAAACCTCTTTAGGTTGATACAAGTCCCATTTGTTCCCTTCTACAATTTAATTCAGTGGGATTTGTCCTTTTTTTTTAGCCATAGGCTAAAATTACTAGTCAATGTCTATCAAAAAATGTTTTTGGGAATCGAAATAAAGATGAAATTAAATAAATATTTTAACAAACTTACATTTTTAGTAAAGTAAAATAAGTAAAATATGAAATTAAATATTAAAATGACTAAGACTGAAATAAAAATAAATAAAAATATTTACTAAATGTAATAAAACACTTAACACATAAACGTATAAACTTATTTTACTAAACACTTATATTAATAAAACTTTAATAAATGAAAAAAATCAAACCATTAATAAATAACTAAAACAACACTGGTCATTGTGGAAATTTAGCTACGAGTTAGTTAGGTTTAGTGTCACAAAGATTTATTAAAATCCCTATCATTAAATGCAAAAATAGTAATAACGATACTAGTAACAATCACAACTAGTAGTTTTGTAGGTATCACGTGCTGTACTGATCAGAAAACCATATAATTATATCTGTTTTTTACTCTAACATTCAACAAAACAGCTACTCAAGAGTGAGTAAATGAAGTGAACACAAAGCAGGTGTATTTGCTAACCCGTGTTCTGTGAGCGCACTGAAGGACCCTCTTGATTTGGGGAAACATCTCTTTTAGTCGGCTCTTAAATGGTGCTGTCAAATCAGCAGCACAATCAAACGGGCTGAGATGAAAGGAAAGCCATCTCCTGCTCTCTCTAAAGCCTCTGACCTCTCCTCACAATCCCTTCAGACCCCACAAACCCGCACAAGCATCGGGCTTATTTCACAGATCACAGCATTCACTCTGCTTAACACATAAACGTATAAACTTATTTTACTAAACACTTATATTAATAAAACTTTAATAAATGAAAAAAATCAAACAACACTGGTCATTGTGGAAATTTAGCTACGAGTTAGTTAGGTTTAGTGTCACAAAGATTTATTCAAATCCCTATCATTAAATGCAAAAATAGTAATAACGATACTAGTAACAATCACAACTAGTAGTTTTGTAGGTATCACGTGCTGTACTGATCAGAAAACCATATAATTATATCTGTTTTTTACTCTAACATTCAACAAAACAGCTACTCAAGAGTGAGTAAATGAAGTGAACACAAAGCAGGTGTATTTGCTAACCCGTGTTCTGTGAGCGCACTGAAGGACCCTCTTGATTTGGGGAAACATCTCTTTTAGTCGGCTCTTAAATGGTGCTGTCAAATCAGCAGCACAATCAAACGGGCTGAGATGAAAGGAAAGCCATCTCCTGCTCTCTCTAAAGCCTCTGACCTCTCCTCACAATCCCTTCAGACCCCACAAACCCGCACAAGCATCGGGCTTATTTCACAGATCACAGCATTCACTCTGTGTACTGGGAGAAGCACTGAGGAAAGCTTTTCAATATGGTAATATAAAATCGATAAGAAAGAGGAGACAGAGATGAGAGATAAGAGAAAATGAGACAAGAAGAGATGGAGATGAGAGCAAAAAGAGGGAGTGAAGAACAAGAGGAAAAAGAATGGAGACAGATAAGGAAAATAGGTGAGATCAAGGACAAAATCAGAAAAGAGAGGGGAGAAACAGATTTGATAGATGAGAAAGAGAGGAAAAAGAGGAGACCGGGAAGAAAGACAGGAGACAGAGGAGAATGAGAGAATAAAGAGGAGAGACAGACATGAGAGCATGGAGAGAAAGAGTGGAGAACATTAAGTGAAACTATGGAGATACTGTAAAAGATGAGACCGACGAGAAAAAGAGAAGACATGGAAGAAAGAGAAGAGACCGATGTGAGAGCAAGGGCAGAGAGAAGAATGAGAGGAGAATGGAGACATCAAAAGAGATGAGCTCTAGAAGAAAAGAAGAGAAAGAGATGAAATCGATGAGAGGAGAAAGGAGAAAGATGAGAAAAGTTGAGAAAATGAGAGCAAAAAGTTGGTGGAGAATGAGAGGAGAAACTATGGAGACGGATATAAAAAAAAGAGGTGAGATCTAGGCAGAAAAGAGGAGAAATATGAGAGAAATAAGAAAGAGTGGAGACAGTAACAAGAGAGAAGACAGAGAGGAGAGTAAAAAGTGGAGAATGAGAGGAGAAACTGTTTATCTTCTAGATTAGCTCTAGAAGAAAAGAAGAGAAATGAAATTGATGAGAAAGAGGAAAAAGAGGAGAAAGGATAAAGAGACGAGAAAGAGAGGTGAAAAGTTGAGACAATGAGAGCAAAAAGAGATGGTGGAGAACTAGAGGAGAAACTATGGGGACAGATATAAAAAAAAAAGGAAGAAAAGCGGAGAAATATGAGAGAAATAAGAAAGAGAGGAAAAAAGGAGGCCGAGAACGAGATGAAATGGATGAAAGCAAAACGTGGAGAAGGAGAGGAGAAACTATGGAGACATGAAAAAGAGGTGATATCTTGAAGAAAAAGGAGAAATGAGAGGAAAAAGGAGAGAGAGAGAGGAGAGCAAGAAGAGAGTGAAGAATGAGAGGAGATAGAATAAAGACAAATGAGGTGAGATCAAGCAGAGAATCAAGAGGGGAGAAGATGAGATGGATAAGGAGGAGAAGAAAAAGTGAGGATACAGAGATGAGAGCAAGGACAGAAAGAGAAGAGAGTTGACATGAGAGAATCAGGAGACAAAGAGGACAAAGTGAGACTGAGGTGAATGAGCAGAGAGCAAGAAGAGAACAAGAGGAGGCAGAAAACAGGAAGTCAGAACTTTCTAAACACTCACACAATGTGAACATCTTCATGCACTCACACACACAGATGAAACTCATGAAACAAACACACAGAGTCTGCTATACTGAAGACAGCCTGATGCTCATTTACCTATTGTGTATCCTCGTTTCAGATCGCTGCACCGCGGACCACGGCGCTGGGAATTGGTGGTGTTGTTTTCTTGCACCTCAGATGTGGTTGTCTTGGCAACAGGTGGTGAAGATCTGTTTAAGGACAGACTCGGGATGAGCCGTGCTGGAAAACCTTGAGAGCCGATATCCACCGACTGGGACTTCTTCTTCAGTCTGAGAAAAAACAGCACAGGAGACATGCAGAACTGAGTCTTCAAACCACTTAGAGCAGGGTTTGTAAACTTATGGACCGTGTGTGCAACTGTATATCTTCTTTGTGCTGCTAAAGGCCTGCCTTCATTGATTCCATCTAAACTGTTGTGTATGACTAGATCTACATGAGAAGAACTTTTCTTTGCCAGTCAATTATTGTGGTGTCATGCATCCATAAAATCCAACAGGTGACATTTTGATTCTTGATGAGTGCAATATGTGACTGAGCTTTGTGACACATGACTTATGATAATTAAAAAACATAACTATTTCTTTCTAATTGGTAATCAGACTGTCTTTTTAATGGTTTTTGATGGAAATCTGTTTTATATCATACATTAAAAAAAAAGCTATTCTTTTATAAGATATGTGACATTTGCAACTCTTAAAGTCATACTGCAGGGTTTTTATGGTATGGTAAGACGAGAAAGGTGAAAAGTTGAGACAATGAGAGCAAAAAGAGATGGTGGAGAACTAGAGGAGAAACTATGGGGACAGATATAAAAAAAAAGGCAGAAAAGAGGAGAAATATGAAAGAAATAAGAAAGAGAGGAAAAAAGGAGGCCGAGAACGAGATGAAATGGATGAAAGCAAAACGTGGAGAAGGAGAGGAGAAACTATGGAGACATGAAAAAGAGGTGATATCTTGAAGAAAAAGGAGAAATGAGAGGAAAAAGGAGAGAAAGAGAGGAGAGCAAGAAGAGAGTGAAGAATGAGAGGAGATAGAATAAAGACAAATGAGGTGAGATCAAGCAGAGAATCAAGAGGGGAGAAGATGAGATGGATAAGGAGGAGAAGAAAAAGTGAGGATACAGAGATGAGAGCAAGGACAGAAAGAGAAGAGAGTTGACATGAGAGAATCAGGAGACAAAGAGGACAAAGTGAGACTGAGGTGAATGAGCAGAGAGCAAGAAGAGAACAAGAGGAGGCAGAAAACAGGAAGTCAGAACTTTCTAAACACTCACACAATGTGAACATCTTCATGCACTCACACACACAGATGAAACTCATGAAACAAACACACAGAGTCTGCTATACTGAAGACAGCCTGATGCTCATTTACCTATTGTGTATCCTCGTTTCAGATCGCTGCACCGCGGACCACGGCGCTGGGAATTGGTGGTGTTGTTTTCTTGCACCTCAGATGTGGTTGTCTTGGCAACAGGTGGTGAAGATCTGTTTAAGGACAGACTCGGGATGAGCCGTGCTGGAAAACCTTGAGAGCCGATATCCACCGACTGGGACTTCTTCTTCAGTCTGAGAAAAAACAGCACAGGAGACATGCAGAACTGAGTCTTCAAACCACTTAGAGCAGGGTTTGTAAACTTATGGACCGTGTGTGCAACTGTATATCTTCTTTGTGCTGCTAAAGGCCTGCCTTCATTGATTCCATCTAAACTGTTGTGTATGACTAGATCTACATGAGAAGAACTTTTCTTTGCCAGTCAATTATTGTGGTGTCATGCATCCATAAAATCCAACAGGTGACATTTTGATTCTTGATGAGTGCAATATGTGACTGAGCTTTGTGACACATGACTTATGATAATTAAAAAACATAACTATTTCTTTCTAATTGGTAATCAGACTGTCTTTTTAATGGTTTTTGATGGAAATCTGTTTTATATCATACATTAAAAAAAAAGCTATTCTTTTATAAGATATGTGACATTTGCAACTCTTAAAGTCATACTGCAGGGTTTTTATGGTATGGTAATGGTATAAGATGGTAAAACTATGGTACTAATATACTATGGCACTAAATTATTGTATACAGTATATTCATATTTAAATGGTACTCTAAAGTACTTAAAAAACCATATGATTAAAAAAATTTGATAACATGGTGTAAGTAATTGAGACAGATATAGTACATGCATGAGGTTTCATTGTGCAGCTTAAGTAGAAAAATGCAACATGGCACAGTAAATTTGCCTTCGGGTCACTCTAAAATATTCCCAAATTTATCTGCAATTGTAAAAATGCTGCATTATTCAAGAAAGTCGTTTTAGATAAAAACTACTGAACAAGACGATGAAAAGTTGAATTCCTTCGCTCAGGGCAAATGTTGAATCTTTAAAGTGATTTGCTTTAAAACATGTAGTGAACCTAAAGAACGAAAGGCAGATCACTGGAGCCAGGATCAGTTCATTGTTTGATCTCACAGTCAATCATCTTCACTTTCCATCTCGACTTATAATTGAGACAAAAAGCCTGAAAGAGCAAAACAACATTCCCAGGAATCCTGCCAATCATCTTCGGTTCAATCCTGAAATGCTGCCTGCATGAGAAATCAGATAGACAGCATGTGCTGTTATGTGTTAAAGGGGTCATATGATGCGATTTCAAGTTTTCCTTTCTCTTTGGAGTGTTACAAGCTGATTGTGCACAGATAAGATCCCTGAAGTTGCAAAGACTAAAGTCTCAAAACCAAAGAGATATTCTTTATCAAAGTTAAGACTCTGCCACGCCCCCCTAAAACGGCTCATTCTAACACGCCCCCACATATCTACCCCACTATGTGGAAATATTTGCATAATGCACCCAAATGTGCA